TTTCCAGCAGTAAGCCTTCAAATGCAATTGCCTGGGAAACATTCTACAGTGAGTGCAAACATCTTGGATAATTAAGTAATGTCAAATGATAAAGTCGATAAAAATAAAAGTCTTAAATGACTTTAAGTTGCCTCTTGGTGATCTCATTCTCAGAAACCTGAGAAGATGTCGATGACGGAGCTGCAGATGACTCCTTCCTGTGTCCATCTTCATTTATCATCCATCTTAGTCATGTATTTACTGAAAACGCGACAGGCGAGCTCTTTCACTCAGCAGATGTTCTCACTGATAGTTTTCTTTCTCTTTGTCTACTTAGTTTAAGATTTTTAAAAACTAAATGAGGCATGAAGGTTTCAGTTACCAGCAACAAGCTGCTGTCATTGTGAACTTATTGTGAATCCACCCTGACCGGTAACTGACTTTTCAGGAAGAAAAGAAGTCTTGCTAAACCTGATACTCTGACTTTTAACAGGATCATCCAGTACCAGCACTCATCCTGACTCACTCTTAGTGAATAATATTTCACCTAGTTATGTGCTAATGGTGTCTTTTCCTCTGAGTTGCCCTTTATTTACACTTCAAACTAGTCAGTCCTGCTGGTTCTGACAGTCCAGTTCTAACTGCCATGTTCGTGTCTCTCACACCCAATTCGTGAGATCTGCAGACACGAAAGTTCAACGTGTGCGAACAGGCAAGTGAGGGAAAACTCTTGTGTGCAGAGGGTTGGTATTTTGGAAATATTCAAATGGGAGGCCTTTGTATATCAGTAACTCCAGGGCAAAGGTTGATGTTTTGAATACCTCTCTTTCCATATGTTGGGCTAAAGTGCAGAAAGAGGCATGCATTGTGAATCTTCCTTAACTTGAAGGGAAGTCAGCAATTGTGTTCATTTTGCTGAGGTGGAGTGAAGGTTAGTCCATTTGCTCAGTCCTTTAAGGCAGCGGTCCCCAACTACCGGGCCGTGGGTCATTTGGTACCGGGCCGTGGGTCATTTGGTACCGGGCCGCACAGATAGAATAAAAACGTTTTATTGGTTTATTTTTATTTCCAGCGGAGTCTGCAGGGTGTTTTATTTTGAAAAATGACTAGCACGTCTTCCCGTCACTTCCGTTTGTGCTCGTTTCCCGGACTTGACTGTCAGTTTTTATGCCCGGCTGCTAAACGAAGCCGTCAGTCAAAAACAAACGTCTCAGGAGAGCTGCTTTGGAAAATGGGAGAGACTTGATACTGAGACAGAGAAAAAGTAAACATGTTAAGCACTAAAAAGTTATTTCATTTATTTCTGACACTTTTCAATAGAAAAAAAACAATTATTATTTGTTCTGTGCGTAATGACCGGTCCGTAGAAAAATTTCTTGCTTAAAACCGGTCCGTGGTGCAAAAAAGGTTGAAGACCGCTGCTTTATGGTATCTTTAGATCAGGGGTGTCGACATCCGGTCCTCCAGGGCCGCAATCCTGCAAGTTTTAGATGTGTCCTTCTTCCAACACACCTGATTCAAATGATCAGGATCGTTATCAGACTTCTGCAGAGCTTGATGATGAGCTGATCATTTGAATCAGGTGTGTTGGAAGAAGGAAACATCTGAAACATGCAGGATTGCGGCCCTCGAGGACCGCAGTTCGACACCCCTGCTTTAGATCATTGAGTCTCTCGCGTCCTCCCTGGCCTCTTCTCCTTGTCTTTTGTGTTTTTTGTGTCTCAGGGTGCACCTTCTAAAAAAATCCCCAACAGAAGCATGTGAGGGGCTGCAAGGTGGTTAGCACTGTTGCCCCGCAGCAAGAAGGTCGCCAGTTTGCGTCCCGGTGGGGGCACCGGAATCTTTCTGAGTGGAGTTTGCATGTTCTCCCCGTGCAGCGTGGGCTCTCTCCAGGTTCTCCGGCTTTCTCCCGAAGTCCAAAAACATGCTGAGGTTAATTGGTGATTCTAAATTGTCCGTAGGTGTGAATGTGAGTGTGCTTGGTTGTCTGTCTGTGTAGCCCTGTGATAGACTGGTGACCTGTCCAGGGTGTCCCCTGCCTTCGCCCTAAGTCGGCTGGGATAGGCTCCAGCCCCCCCGCGACCCTAGTGAGGATTAAGTGGTGTATAGATAATGGATGGATGGATGGAGGAGCATGTGAGACTGAAATGTAGCCGTTGGAGTGTCTGGAACCCTTTGGTCTATTCTTGTGTGATAGCCACGGACTCTCATTATGAATCTATTTTGAATCTACAGATCCTCCTTTTCTGCAGTTCTAATTGACATGTTTGCAGTCGTGACATTTACGAGGGTACTATTACAAGTTCTGGGCCTCACAAGGGGCGCAACTGTATGCTGTAAAGCCTTTTGTCACTGTCGACAAAAACTCAAATGTTTGAAGGAATCAAAGGAAAAAAAAAAGAACAGAGAAGCTTCGAGCCGGCTTCTGATGCTCCAGGACAATGCCCACGTTCGTCCTGACTTCCACAAGCGCAGTTCAAAGCCACATTTTGCTCTTCTACCTTCTATGCTGCGTGTACGGACACATTTTCCTGAAGCAACAGCAGCCAGCTCAAACGTTTTCTCTCCTTTTTTCTTTGATTGCTTCAAATATATGAATTTTGGTATGTAAGGCTTTATAGTTTACAGTTATGCCTCAATTGGGAGCCCTTGTTTGAGGTGCAGCTCGACCCTTGTGAACTACTAACAGCGACCGACATGAAATCAAACTGTCCTTTTGTGCATGAATGGGATGACAATAACTCTGTTGAGGGACAAGAGGTTTTTTTTTTTCTTTTTTCTATTAATACATGCAATGACACAACTGTTGTGGTTAAATGTGGTGAAACACCACTCCTTAGAAGGGTCTGTAAACAAAGCGGTGCTATCGTTGTTTTATCTCTAGCTATATTTAGCTGTGGAAGGAAGCTGACTCAGTTTCGGGGGAACACATTCTATTTGACTGTACAGCAGAAATATATTTGGGTTTTTCATTATGATGACAAGGCACAACAGTTCTTATACAGAACAATATCAGTTATTAATAATAATATTATTGATAACACATTATTCATGTCTGTATAAATGTGCTTCTGGTGTTTATTTTTAGAATCTCTCATCATCCACTCTTTCATGGCAAAAAAACAGTAACATTCATCTCAATAATGGTACGGTGGAGCCGAATTATAAAAAATTGTAAAAGGAGTTTATTTTTTTTAAGAGCAAGTGGACATACTTGACTGTTTTTTTGTTTTTGTTTTTCCTGTTTAAGGTAATTTCTACTGTGCAGAATCACAAGATATGTAATCTCAAGGTAAAAGGCAGGTACTTGTAGTTTCAGTCTTTGTCATCACACCCACACAACTTTATCAGTCTGAGCAGCTGCTGGGGACTTTCTACACCTCAGAGTCATTCAGACCACATGAAGTGACTCGTGGTTTCTGTTGCAGGCAGTTGAACAAAGGCTATGTTCTGTATTTCACAAAGGCTGAGTGACTAGATTGTAACACAGAATATAAATATAGTTTAGACCAAAAGGTCTCATAGAGGAGGTTCAGGTGGTCCTTCAGTGTCATGAATGAATGACTGAAGTGACAATGAGTCTCTGTGAAAAGCAAAGTGATTTTGTGTCTTTGCTGTCACACTGCACCTCTTTGTAGTCTTTTGCAACCCATTATAGTCTTCTTGCGATGTCATTTTAGTAATTTTGCGTCTCTCTCTCCAACTATTTTGCATCTCTTTCTAGTAATTTTGTGTGTTCTAAACGTAATTTTGCACGTATTTGTCAGCGTTTTGCAGCTTCAAGGAATTTTTGTGTTTGTTTGCAGTCATTTTGTGTTAACTGGGCACTTGTTTTGCATCTCTTAATGTAATTTTGAATCTATTTGTGGGGTTCATCCCTTTTGGAGTTGTTTTGCATGTCTCAAATCTAATGATAGATATTTTTGTCTTATGATATTGCTTTATGGCGATACTTATTGTGTTATTCTAGTTCAAATAATGCTAATAATAATAAAAAAAATGATGTGAAGAAGGAAGAGCTGCATAAAATGTTTTCACATTCAAGCGTCGCATGGTTTTCCAAGTTATTGTTTAACTGGGCTTGAAATACACCACCGCCTCCGCTTCAGGAAGAGTATTTGAATGCTGGTGAGACACCGCAATCCTTATCTGAATCAAAACTTGTTTTATTCAAAACACTGGGCCCCATTCAGCTCCCTGGATTGTGTCCTGCTATGCTCACTGTGTCATGTAGCTACTAAGCAAATATTTATGCTTGCAGTGTGTTTTTACCTTTACTGCCATGGCTGTAGCTGATATGACACATGACATAAAGTTGGTCTATGTGCCTCTGGTCCTCTTCCTTTTAACTGAGATAAACAAGTAGATGACTCAGTAAGTGGTTAAACTTAAAACAGAAACCTGTAAAATAAATGTATATAATAGTAGCACAAAGTATACAGTCTGAGGAAGAGGGACGATGGAATCCACTGCTTAGCTGTCTGACACGATTCTGTATAAGCAAAGGGAGGGATGGATGGACAAAAAAAGTCACAATCCATATAAAAATTACACAACTAAACAATTAATGTATAATGCAAGTTGTTTTTTTCTTGTCACTCAGAAACAAGAGATTGTGCGACTTGGAAAAAAGACAGAATTTGCGTTTAACGTGCAAAGATGGAAGTGTTTTTGGTGGAACATTTGCATGGAGGGAAATGAAAACTGTCATTAAAACTGATAATTCATAGGAAAAAAAAAATGCTGGGTTGCCTTACAGGATTTTTAGTTTGGTGTCTCGCTGCCTTGGGATGTTGTTTGCTGTTTTAAAGTGGATTTTGACAAAAGTAAGGCCTCCATAAGGATGCAGAGGGCCCCTCCTGTCACCTCACAGCCTCCTGATGTTGTGGATCAACCTAAACCTCCCTGCTGGCAGGGCTGTGAGAGAGGCTCAACTGTCCACTCGATTTTTTTTTTTTTTGACGAAATAAGACCAAAAAAAGTAGTTAGTTGTTTATCAATAGCTTATTTTATTTTTTTACTGTCTTTCTCCACCTGTGATTGTCCGACCATCAGCTCCTCATTCATGTTCTTCTTTGCCTCCTCCATCTCCCTCTTCTTCTCCTCCAACTTCTTAATCTCCACCTTCACTTCTTCCGTCACGTCCTCCATCATCTTCATCTCCTCCTCGACTTTCTCAACTTTTCCTCCAAGTTGTTCTTGGCCGCCTCAGTTTTTTCTTCTCCATCTTTAGCTTCTTAATGTCCTCCTTCGGTTCTTTCTTTTTGTCCTTCACATTTCCTCTTTCACTTCATCCATCCATCCATTATCTATACACCACTCAGTCCTGACCAGGGTCGCGGGGGGCTGGAACCCACCCCAGCCAACCCAGGTCGAAGGCAGGGGACACCCTGGACAGGTCGCCAGTCCATCGCAGGGCTACACTTAGAGACAGACAACCAAGCACACTCACATTCACACCTACGGACAATCCAGAATCACCAGTCAAACTCAACATGTTTTTGGGCCTTGTGGGAGGAAGCCAGAGAACCCGGAGAGAACCCACGCTGCACGGGGAGAGCATGTAAACTCCACACAGAAAGATCCCGGGTGTCCTCACTGGGACGCAAACCGGCGACCTTCTTGCTGTGAGGCAACAGTGCTAACCCCTGTACCACCTTGCAGCCCACTTTCACTTCACTTCCAGTGTATTCTTTTTTTGATCTACTTTATTTTCTCCTCCAGTGCCTTCTTCTCTTTCTCAAGTGTCTCTGTTTAAAAGTAACTGTTTTTCTTTGGAAAGGTGCAGACAGATTGTGCTTTTAGCCCTGACATACACATTTCTATGCAACTCCTCACTCCTGAATCTATACAACGGGACCGTAACACCAAATTAAATTAGCCTGAATTAGCTCTGCTTGTAAATATTGTTTGATTTAATTTATATGAAAACCCAAACAATCTCTAAAGTAACTACAACTGTAAAATCCTGCTTTAATGTCAATGCATGTCTAATCGTGATCTAATGATTAATTCACAGCTGACTTTTAATTCTTTCGGTACATTTTTCTGGTCTCTACATTTAAAAAAAATTTCTGCTCGAACATCTCTGATTGGACAGAATTTTTTACAGCATAGAATATGGATATTTATGAAGGTGTCAGTTAAAGTTTTAGCTTGATGTGTTAAATACTTCCGCAGATAATTTATTTTTAAATTGCCATTAAAATTTGACACTAGGTTTTTGCATAAAACTGTCTTTATTAAAGATAAAAGCCTGAAATTTTCACTATTTTACCCAGTGCTTTCTGCTCTTGTTGTTTTGCATGTAGCTTTTATCCACTGTGCAGCGTCTTTGAGCGTTCAGAAAAGCGCTTTATAGATAAAATGTATTATTATCATTTATTGTTATTATTGTTTTTCATCGTGCCATTTATTCAGAATCTGCAATATTGAACAAGTGGATGAAATAGTGTCTGAATGTGGGTGTGCAGGAATGTTTTTGACAATGACACCACATTCCTTCCATTTTCATATGATAGATTTAACTGGACTCCAAGGGTTTTATTGAGTGAAATGGAAATTTTCTTGCATCCATCCTCTTGACTTGTGCTTTTTAATAACCTGCTTGAGTTGCTCTGAGTGTCTTCAGTATACCCAGGGGTACCGAATCCTCAGACACAGGTGTGTTTTTAACTGCACTCGCTGTGACTTTTAGCACTAACTGGGTGCACTAATGTTGAATTAGGTGATCCACTTTGAAGGCAATCAGCTATTTTACATACTACATTTTTAGTTTGTGTACAAGATTCAAGGTTGAGAAGCAATTATGGGGGGGGGACAGGAGGAAACTTCCAGTGAGAGGTGAATACTTTGTAAGTGCTGTTCGCGGAAGAGGTGTAGCATTTGTTATTACAGCAGCAGCCACAACGTGACACAACCTTTTTGCAGTTAAAGCATGACACTGTGTTGAAACAGCTGTTTGTGGGCATGTGTTTAGTCTGAATGGGTCGCTTTACTGTATCCATCTCGAAATAGTTTCAGTACACAAAGTTGCAGTTCAGGAGATGCAGGTTCATTTCCCCATAAGGGGCCCCGTTCTCGTAAGTGACTTGGATTTCCAAGAAGAGGCTACGGTAGAATTTCTACAAACAAGAAAATTGAAAAGGCACAAAAGCTTATTTAGGATTTGAAAGTTGAACACTGTCCACTGTCCCAGAACAATAAAGGAACTGAACACTGTCAAACACTCCCATGATTACTTTGTTTAGGCAGTAATTATCCATGCTGCTCAAGTTGAGTTTCCATTGTTGAGTATGATTATGAATCAGAAGTTGTTCCTGTTCAGCCTTCCCACAATACATAAAGGAGAGTAGAGTTCTACTGGAACTGTACTGACAATTTCAGTTTGTGTTTCCTGGAGAAAATGTCTGGGAATTTTTACAGGGTTTTTCTGTGTGTGTGTTTTAGCGGAAAGATCTCTTTAAGATCCCAGGTTTCCAAATCACACTTGTGTAAGATGTGTTTTTTACTCAGAGCTTAGATGAGCTTAGAGCCTTTCGATGTCAAACTGTGATGATACGTCATGCTGCACAGTGGCGCTATAACATCCAAGACAGGGAACATTTTTATCATTCTGGCTCTCATATAGTGAGAGCAAATACCAGTAAGTTTGCACCGTGAAAATACGAATCAAAAAATACAATGAAACACATATTCAAAAACTGTGAAAACAGAACAAATTATGGCAAATATCTGTAAAATAAAGATATTTTTAGCTGATTTAAATACAATAAAACAGTGTGATTTTCATAAATTCTTTAAATAAAAACATTACAATATGTAAGATACACATTTTTGGACATTATGCCTTTCTTTTAACAGTCAACTTGTGCAATAATACTTTTTTTATGGTGATTTTAATAGTTAAATTAGCAGTTAAATTTTTAGGCTGGAGCCTATCCCAGCTGACTCAGGGTGAAGGCAGGGGACACCCTGGACAGGTCGCCAGTCCATCGCAGGGCTACACTTAGAGACAGACAACCAAGCACACTCACATTCACACTTACGGACAATTTAGAATCACCAATTAACCTCAACATGTTTTTGGGCCTTGTGGGAGGAAGCCGGAGAACCCGGACAGAACCCACGCATATTTTTGCTCTGTCATTCTTTCCCTTTCTCTCTTTCTTTTTAATCACACAGAGAAATAACTCAGTTTCAGTTTCAGGGAGCTTGTTACACCCTGAGCCTCATCATTTTATTCGTGGGCCTACAAAGAACAGTACTTATGTCATGTCCTTCCTTTTGGACCTTGCTCCTATTTTAACTCCTATAATCACCTCAGCTTTTGGCCACCTACACTGTCTTGCCAAACAACGGCCTCTGACATCACTCAGGCGAGTCAGTGCTGCTTCCTGTCAGATTTTAATCTTCTGACCTGGAAGTCTGAAGTTTATTTGTCACATCCTTCAGTTTTAAATATCAGTCTTCCTCCAGGAAAGAGACAACAGAAACACTGACTCGTCCCAAACTGTCTTGTCATTGTGACATCAGCTTTGCTAGCCGTGCTTTCCAATTTACCAAATTTGTCATCGGTCCAACTGTAAAGACTCTGTGTAATGATTTTCCTACTTTCATGTTGAGCCACTGACTGGGTCTTGGCTATGATGAATAAGGAGCAGTGGGCCCATTTCCTCTGAGCCAGCAACGTTTCTCCCTAACAGACCAAGCCTTTTTTTTCACACCATTGGTGGAATGTTGACGTTTGCAGACTTAAGTTCAGACTTTGGTTAAAAAAGCCACCTGCTTCTTCAGTTTACCGCAAACACTCATGCTTTGTTGTTCATCGTTGCTCTCTTATATTATTGTGTTGCTTATTATTAATCATCTTGAGGTTAACCTCAAAATGACTTTGTCAGCATTGTTGTTTCATAAAGACACACAGTTTTTGTTTTTTAAAATTACAAACCTTGTACTCATAAGTTTACTGCACTGTTTACATATAATAGAGCACTAATGGGAAAGTAAACAAGTGGAGGAAGTCCCTCAAAATTCCCCTTCTGACCACTAAATTTTGTCATTTCAGGTCCTTCCTCAGAAGATAGTGGTTGAGCTAATCTCTAAATAGCACTGAAATCCTTTTACTGGTGAGAGAAAATCAAAAGAAGTGATTTAATGGTATTTTGATGTCATAAAGTAAGCCTGTGTGTTTACATTTGTGTATACAGTGATTAACACATTCATTAGAACCTGTCATAAAAACGAGAAAGCATATATATTTTAGAAATCTTTCAAAAACTTGTTTAAAACTGAAAACGCTACTGTTATTTGTTTGGCAGACAACAAACTGAAACAACTAAATAGGCCTCTTTCACACATAATAGTTAAAAAATAATAAATAGTTCATATTTAGTATGACCTCCTTTGGCCTTGATAACAGTTTGCATTCTTGCTGGCTTTGTTTTTATGTGCTTTTCAACAGTCTCTTTTGTAACTGAGTTCCAAATAGTTTCTGACTGTTCTCACAGACTTGCTTTAGATGATTCTTTGAATGTACTACATCCCAATTTTCTTCAATAGGATTCAAATCCAGACTTAGACTTGGACATTCCATCACTTCCAAAACTCCAGACTCCTTTTTCTTGGTCAAATAGTCTCTGCACAGCTTTGTAGTGTGCTTGGGCTCATTGTCTTGTGGATATATAAACCCACAACCAATCAGATTCAGTCCTGGAGGGATTCCACGATGCACTAAGGTGTTCTGGTAGTCGTTCTTGTTCATGATTCCGTCGATTTTCACTACTTTGTACACAAACCATAATGGAATCTCTGCTGTGTGTCACTGTGAGTTCAGTGCATCTGAAACGTTCTCCAGGTTTCCTGAGGACATAAACACGAGGAAGCCGACTGAAGAGTTCAAACTTGGACTCATCCGTCCGGAGCGCCTTCTTCCAGTCATCAATAGTCCAGTGTTTGTGCTTCCTGAAGGCGTTTCTGGATGTTTGCAGGCCTCAATAATGACTTCTTAACAGCTGTTCTTCCCTTTGAGCCTTGTTCCATCAGTCGTCTACTTCTGGTCCTTCTGGACACTTTCTCAGACTCTGATCTAGAAGCATTCATCTCTTCCTGAAGATCAGCAGTGGTCTTCCTTCTGTCTCTCACACTTAAAACCT